CTGGTTGAGAAAATCACTTTTTAGAAAAGAGATGCATGCAGAAACTGTGGCACCCACTGCACAGTTGTGGGGCTGACAGCCAGAGCTCGAGTCTGAATCTCTATTAACTTCACATCAGGGATTTGCTGATAACTGCAGAATGGTGCTTTCTCAAAGAAATTTCACCTTCAGAGAAGCAAGACTCACTGTAAGCTGCCTCCTGTGGAACTAACATATTTGAAAGAGGACCTGCATCTTCCAGCTTCCCCTCTGTGGCTGAAGCTCCAGTGATGTTATCCATGACAATAGGATTCATTGAGAAAATTACATTTTAGAAATGAGATGTGATTGGCATAATTATGAAATCAATGGAATATAATTTGTTCTAATTCAGTCTCCAGTACTTCCTTTCCTCCTCCCTCCCCATGTTCCCTTCCTTCTACTTGACTGATATTTCTGCTATTTATTTACTAATTTAAAAAAATTAGTGTCCTGTGCATGTGCATGATAATGAGATTCACTGTGGTATAATCTCACATGAACATAGGGAAGCTAGGTCAGATTCACTGCACTGTCTTTCCCTATCCCAGCCCTCCCCTTCAGTCCCCTTTGTCTACTCCACTGCTCTTTCTTCTATTCTTTTTTTATCCTCTGCCCTCCTTATTTTGGATTAGCTTCTGCATATCAGAAAAAAAATTCTACCTCTAACTTTTGGGAACTGGCTTATTTCCATTGGTATGATAGTGTCCAGTTCCACCAATTAACTGGCAAAGGCCATAAAGTCATTCTTCTTTATGGCTGAATAGAAGTCCATTGTGTATATGTGCCATGTTTTCTTTATCCATTCATCTGTTGAAGGGCACCTAGGTTGGCTCCATACCTTGGCTATTGTGAATTGTGTTGCTATAAACATTGATGTGGCTGCCTCCCTGTAGGATGCTGATTTTAATATTTTTTTGGATATATACTGAGGAGTAGGGTAACTGAGTCATATGAGGGGGTTCAATTTTCAATTTTTTCCCAACTGCTTTCCAGAGAGATTGTGCTCATATGCAGTCCCCACCAACAATGTGTGAGTGTACCATTTTTCCCACATTCTTGCCAACATTTGTTGTTACTTAATTCTTGAGAATTGTCACTTTGACTGGAGTGAGATGGTATCTCAGTGTAGATTTAATTTGCAATACTCTAATTGCTAGAAAAGTTGAATACTTTTTCATAAATTTGTTGACCTTTGCATTTCTTCTTTTGCTCATTTATTGATTAGATAATTTGCCTCTTGCTTTTGTTGTTGTTTTAGTTGTTTTGGTGTTAACTTTTTTGAGTTCTTTGTATATCCTGGATATTAATGCTCCATCTGAGGAGCAGGTGGCAAAATTTTTCTCCCATCCAGTTGGCTCTATATTCACAAACTTGTTTCTTTTTCTGTAAAGAAGTTTTTTTAAAAAGTGTGTGTGTGTGTGTGTGTGTGTGTGTGTTTAAGTTGTAGCTGGTCACAATACTTTGTGGTGCTGAGGATTGAACCCAGTGCCTCACATGTGCTAGGCAAGCACTGTACCACTGAGTTACACCCACAACATCATGAAGAAGCTTTCTCATTTGTTGACACCCCATTTTTTTATTCTTTAAATTTTACTTTTCTCACTTTAGGAGTTAAGGAAGTCAGTTCCTGAACAAACATACACATTGGAGTGTGGGAACTACCTTAACAAGACTCCCAAAGTACAAGAAATAAATCAAGAATCAACAAATGAGATAGTTTCAAACTGAAAAGCTTCTTTTCAGCAAAAGAAACAATCACTAAGGTAAACAGAGCCTTAAGAATGGGAGCAAATTTTTACTACATGCACATCAGATAGAGCACTAATCTTCAGGATATATAAAGAAATCAAAAAACTTAACACTAAAAAAACAAATAACCCAATCAATAAATAGGACAAGGACCTGAACAGACACTTCTCAGAAGAGGATACACAATCAATCAACAAATATATGGAAAAATGTTCATCATCAATAGCAATTAGAGAAATGCAAATCAAAAATACTCTGAAGATTTCACCTCACTCCAGTCAGAATGGCAATTATCAAGAATACAAGCCACAAGAAGTATTGGCAAGGATGTGGGAAAAAAGGCACACTCATACACTGCTGGTGGGACTGCAAAATGGTGCAGCCAACATGGAAAGTAGTATGGAGATTCCTTAGAGAACTTGGAATGGAACCCCCCCCCCTTTGACCCAGCTATCCCACTCTTTGGTCTTTACCCAAAGGACTTAAAAACATACTACAGGGACCAGCCATATCAATGTTTATACCAGCACAATTTACAACTGCTAAATTGTGGAGTCAACCTAGATGCCCTTCAATAGATGAATAGATAAAAAAATGTATGTATATATATATACACAATGGAACACTACTCAGCAATAAAAGAGTATAGAGTCATGACATTTGCAGGTAAATGGATGGAGTTGAAGAAGATAAGCTAAGTAAAATTAGCCAATCCCAAAAAACCAAATACCGAATGTTTTTTCCGATATAAGGAGGCTGATTCATAGTTAGATAGGGATGGGGAGCATGGGAGGAAAAGACGAACTATAGATAGGGCAGAGGGGTGGGAGGGAAGGGAGTGGGTATGGGGTTAGAAATGAGATGGACATCATTATCCAAACTACATATATGAAGATATGAATAGTGTGAATATACTTTGTAGACAACCAGAAATATGAAAAACTGTGCTCTATATGTGTAATATTAATTGTAATGTATTCCACTGTCATATATAATAAATTAAAATTTAAATTGTTTTAAAAGTGTCAGCATCATATCCCTATGTTATAATCTATGGAAATTGGAACTATTATAAAAAAGCTCATTAGGCTTTAGAAGCTATGCAAGATAATAAACAGAATGCTATTAATTGTACTTTTTATACAGGCTCGGCTACATGAAAGTCTTAAATGGGAATTACCTTTCTGACTTGAAACAAGTAAATCTAGGAATTCTCAGCCTTTACACGTGAGCAGTAAGAGCTGTTCTAGGCTGAGCATATTTTTTTTTTTTTTTTGTACAGGAAATGACAAATTCGTTCATTTGACCCTAACAACTCAGAACTCAGGAACAAGATGTTGTACACTGTGACAGCAAAGAGAAATGAGATCTGATATCAAAACATTTGTGATCAGCTTCAAGGGAATAACTGGATAAATCTCTATAAGACAACGTCTTCATCAGACAATGTCACAGGAAGAAATAAAGAAAACATGAGGGGACTATTTTAGACTAGAAGAGACTAAAGATATATAAAAACACATCACTTGAACTAAGAGTCCTGGTTTGTGGTGGGTATGACAGCTGTTGGGATGGTAGTGTAGTTCAGTAGTAGAGAACATGCTGGCAGATATGAGACCCTGAGCTCCATCCCCAGCACCAGGTTCTTTAGGAAAACTGTGGAAATCTGAATATAGAATGATATTACATGATTAAAGGAGTACCATTAATTTCTTAAATGTGACAATGGTATTATATTTCTATAGAAGAAAGAATTTATTCTCAGAAGATTTGTGGTCAGTTTTCTAGCAACACGTGTCTCAATGTCTACAATTTACCTTCAAATGATTTTACACATAAATATTCAGATGGCAAAATGTTAACTGTTGACTCTATGTTGTAGATATACATATGAGTAGATGCTTAGGGTACCATCTTTTTTAACTTTCATGTGTGTTTGAAAATTTTTATTAAAAATGTTGAAAAGGGCTGGGGTGTAACTCAGTGTAGTGTACTTGCCTGGCATATGTGAGGTCCTAGGGTTCATCCCCAGCACTGCATCAAATTAATAAATATCAGAATTTAATTTTAGAAATGGGGAAGTTTATAGATGGAAAACCGTACTCAAGGCTACATGGCTTCTCAGTAGCAGACAGAACTTGGTCTTGGTCTGATTTCTAGGAGTTGGTAGTATACAACACTAGCTGCACAAACTGTCTCAACTTACACAGAAAATGACTTGCCACCCTGCTGGATTCCACATATGGTAAACAGAACTAGACAAATATACTGATTTGGAAAAATGTCTATTGCAAACATGCCTTGTTTAGAAAACAATTCATATCGAGTGCTAAAGAAAGAATCCTTATTTCAACTCTTGAAACTTACCCCAAGAAAAGAAAGACAAAACTTTACACTTAATGGTGGAAACTACAAGATTTTTTTTCAAAGAGCAGAAATTCCAGACATATGCAAAGGTTCCACATTGGGGTAATCAAGTACAACTGAGACTGTACATTCGATAAAATAAATGTTCAATACTATAAAAGCAAAGTTGCTTAAGAATGAGGCACAACTGGGTAATAAAGGTACTTTCAGGGCAGAGAATGAATATGGACAAGAAAGGTATTGGGGGGGATCAATAATATTGGCAAATTATTCAATTAATTAATTTGTTTTAATTAGGTATATATGACAGCAGAATGCATTTTGATTTATTGTACACAACTGCTGCACACCTCTTCATTTCTCTGATTGTATCTGGGTATTTAAATTCTTAAAAAAATAATTAGTGATCATACTTCCTATTGCCTCAAAGCCCCTCTCCACATTTCCATATGCCTTACACACCCTAATTACCCAAATTGAGCCAACATTAAAATAAAAAAACTAAATAAATCCTTATCATCAAGATACAATATTCGGGGGTAAAACATTTTAAAGCAGAACAGTAGCTTAGAAAGCACATCTAGGTGCTCCCTCAACCTCTGCGTGGTTGAATATGCAGTGGAATAAAACCACTCTTTTGTAGGTAAACGTCCATGACTAGCAAGACCAAGCAAATTAAAACTCAGGGCTGCGGGTACTTTAGGGATGGGAGATGAGATCCCCTGCTGGCTGGGGACCTGCTTTCTGAAGGGTTCTGCTGCAGGTTCCACAATCAGGAATTGTCCCCCCCAAAGCACCTAGAGGGGGCGGGGGACCCCGGGGCCACGAGATAGGTCCCGGTCCCACCACCCCATTCGACAAGGAAGGAGGGAGAGAGCGAGGGGCTCTCTGGGGGCGTGAGGCTGCAAATGAAGGTAGATCCTTTGGAGAAAGATTTGGACCTATGTTTTATATAGCTTGCTTCTTTCCATGGGCAAAATCTCTGACTCCCAGCTGTGCTGGGGGCAGAGACAATGGATATTTCTGACTGAGTGACGTAATGCCAGATCCATGGGACCTCATTAGACCACCAGGAGCCGAATCCGATGCAACCACACAAGAGTCTTTATTGCAAGCTCAATGCCAGCTGACTCTTCCAGTAGTTCTGTAGATTGACAACATGTTAGGAAACCATGTAGTTTAGCACACACCCCTCATGGCTTAAGCAAATCAGTTCAAATGTATCCACCTCTTAAACTTACCAATCACCCTTACCCAACTTGTTCCCACCAGTGAATGTGCTAATCAATGTTAAGAGTTGTTTGATTTCCCTGTGGTGTGAAATGATTTGCTCTGGGATGTTGTGATGCATAGAGTATCCTTCAAAAACCTACAAATCCTCACTGAACTAAGGGCTGGGACTCACTCCCTGGGACCACTGTGTTGGGACGGTTGTAAGTCCAGGCTGGAGCTTGCAATAAGGACTGTTGTGTGCTTGCATTGAATTCGGCTCCTGGAGGTCTATTGGGTTCCCACGAATCTGGCATTACAGGTGGA